GTCCTCTCTCCAACCTCAAGAACTTATCACTCATTTGAATAACATTTTTACTGACCAGTCCACGGTGTTTAAGCTGAATGTGTCTTTTGGTTTCATTCTACGCAACAACGAGACTGGAGCACTTCAATATTATTATGCCTCCAGAAATAATGAACAAGTCTTTGAAGCGCCCTTTCAAATTACCACCGCAGCTGACCTTTAGCAAGTCCGTGAAGCATTGTTAAACCTTGACGTCTTGGAATGGGTACGCCAGCGACGCCCCAGCTCCAAATGGGTCGTTGAACAGGTGACCAATGTAACCTTTTTCGTCACCAAGCTACGAGGTCATCCTATCGGGAGAGGTACTTACTTGCCTTCCTACCTGGCCAAGAACCATGGTTTGGTCGCCTTGGATCGCAACCGCAATAATGGAAAAGTCTACAGCGACAATTTGTGCTTCTTTCGCGCTTTGGCACTCCACAACGGTTGTCACCAAAAGAATCTAGAGCGGGATGCACAACATTACTATGAGCGATATAGAGAATTTTTCCCTGAGAAAAAAAATTGTGGTGTAAAGCTGAAAGAACTGATCGACCTAGAACACCTATATGATGTCAACATTTCTGTCTATTCCCTCGAACCCACCAAGCCCGATGGAGAGGAGGGGGAAGAAGACATAGAAAAAGAGGAAGAGGATTTCGCTTCCGAGATCGCTGCACAGTTGATTCACCGCTCCCTTTGCCACTACTCAACTACGCTGTACCTCAACCTGTACAAGAATCACTTTTCCTATATTAAAGATTTGAAGAAGTATGCCAAGTCCTACAGCTGCTCGCGACGTGGAACATTGTGGAAACATGTTGGCAAGTTAAATCGTCACGAGCTAACCTGTGAAACAAAAGTACATTACCAGTTTCTAGGAGGTGCTTACAAGACTCCACCGACCATCCTTCAGTTGCTAGAAGACGAAGGATTAACCATTCCTGATCATCTCAAGTTCTTCCCCTACAGAGCTACCTTTGACTTCGAGTGTATGTTTACACCTGAGACAGACCTTAATAATACAGAAAAACTGACGTGGAATTCTAAACATATACCCCTCAGTGTGAGTGTCTGTTTCAACGTTCCAGACTACGACCAACCCAAGTGCTCTGTGTCAGATGGGGACTCTAAACAACTTGTCAAAGAGATGTTAGAACACCTCGTAAAAATAAGTGAAAAGAGTTATGACCTGTTAAGAAAAGAGTTTAACTTTCTTTTTGAAGCCATCGACTAAAAGCTGCAAGACCTACAGCAAAAATCAGAAAGTTGTGAACCTTCCAGAGACAAGACAGTAGAGGACAGCACCCAAGAGGATAGCGATGATGAAGGAGAAGATCTCATGGACACAGATGATGAAGAAGAAGAAGTCGAGTCTGAAACCGTGGAAGATCGTGTCTTTATTGACGATGACGTAGAAGAACAAGGTGCCTCGTTTTACTGGGCCTTAGATCGCGAACACGAGGATCAGAGTGAAAATGATCACGAGTGTGCGTATGACAAACCAGAGGACAATAGCCCAGAACCTAAGGAGAAAAAAGTGCACCCTTTAAAGAAACTACGAGATCGTTCCCAAGAATATCTACAAGAACTTCCTGTCCTGGGCTTCAATTCTGGTAAATATGACTTGAATGCCGTCAAAGAATTTCTGTTTCCTGTCCTAGCCCAGGATGAAGGCGTTCATTTTACTATCAAACGTAACCATAACTTCATGTGCCTAAAGACCCCACATCTCCGCTTCCTCGACGTCATCAACTTTCTTGCTCCCAGTTTCAGCTACGACAACTTTCTGAAGGCCTACGAGTGTCCTCAAACCAAGGGGTTCTTTCCTTATCAATGGCTGGATTCTCTTGAGAAATTAGAACACCCTTCCCTTCCATCTCACGAAGCCTTCTTTTCTACATTAAAAAACAAGAACATTTTTGACGAAGACTACCAGTACTGCCAACAGGTCTGGTCGAACAATAATATGCAGACCTTTCGAGAATTTCTCATCTGGTACAAAAACCTAGATGTCCAACCCTTTTGTGAGGCCCTGGAAAAAATGTGCGCCTTCTGGAAAGATAAAAAGATCTACATGTTAAGACAGGGGATTTCTATTCCCGATGTTACCTTGACGTACCTCTTTACCACCCTGGAATCTGGCATCTTCTTCTCTCTGTTTGACGAAAAAAAAACAAAGATCTGTACTATCTCTTTTAGAAAAATATGGTGGGTGGCCCCAGTATAATATTTCATCGATATCACGAGGCGAGAAAAACCAAAATCAGAGAAAAAGAAATGGAGGATCAAGGAAAACAAGCAAAAACCTGTCAAAAGATTGTTGGATACGATGCCAATGCTTTATATCTATGGGCCATCATGCAAGACATGCCCACCGGATCATTTACAAGACGGCGAGAAGAAACTGGCTTCAAGAGAGAAAGTTCTTCCAGGATGGCAACCGAGTGGTTAGAGTGGAAGGCACATGAAGGAGGAATTTTTATACGCCACCAAATGAACAATACAGTAAAACGCATTGGTGAAAGAAAAATACCAGTGGATGGTTTTCACGGTCCTTCGCAAACAGTCTTTCAGTTCCATGGCTGCTGGTGGCATGGGCATATCTGTCATCTTACTAAAGGAAA